GGGTAAGAACCTCACTTCTTCAGATGCAAGTGAAGAAGTGAGGTTCTTACCCACGAAAGCTTATGCTCCCAATACTTCTGTTAGTCTCTAAGGTGCCACAGGACCCTCTGTTGCTAAGCACAGTTTAGTCTCCAAGTCCATTTCTGCTGGGACTGCCATCAAGGGCACTAAATTGTGCCAATTGTGTAATGACCTCTCTTTTTATGATGTGGGCAGCAGTCACTCTGAACTGAACTGAGACTGACTCACATCTCATAGGTGACCAAAAAGTCATCAGATGGAAAAAAGAATTGGTTGCAAACAGGTGACCTACAGGTGAGAGGCTTCATATTCTTATTTATTTACAGCATATATTTTAAACATATTTATGCTTTGCTACATCAACTCCGCAATCTTTAGTGTCCAGGAAGATTATTAACAGATTTTTTCACCTTTATTTGGATACAGAGCAAAAAATATATTTAAAGTCTTTATTTCTGTAACATGTATTCACTTAACTGACTTTAGTCCATTTTAAATGTCTGATGCCTTACCGAAAAACTATGAAAATAATCTAAACAAGATGACTGTCACTTTGTCTTGAGAAATGCAAATTCTTAAAAAAAACCTGATAATTCTTTTAGCAGACCACTTAGTATCTAATAAGAAGCCGCTAAGTATTCTAGACATTATGTTCTTACATATCTAATTTAATTTTATAAATTTGATTATCTACATTAAAATTGAAATAACAAAGGACAAATATTTTTAACTAAAACCACTTGTATCAAACCTAAAAATGTGACCATTTTTATACAATTAATGTTATATTATCAAACAGGAACAATATGTGAGTTGTGATCTGCCAGGAACACATGGTTTTGTGCCTGCACATTGATGTAGGCAGTTCATCTTCAAGGACTAGCTAATGTCTAAGGATGATAAAATTACACCTAATATTTATATATGTTGAAAACAAATAATTTGAGGCCTGATTTATCTCTCAGTTACACTGGAGGAAATCAGTAGTAATTCCATTGAAATCAGTGAAGTCACACTTGGGTAAAACCAGTGTCTGGGCGATCAGAATGAGAACTATACATTTTATTATATAACTGGTAGTAACCAATGAAAAATTCATATATGTGCAGTAGAGTAGTAGGGCTTATCTCCTCTTTAGGCTGTAGCAAATAGAGTTTACAAGAGCACACATGCTTGAGCCGACATACTATTCCATCCATTAAACGATGGCAATAGAGTCAGGAGCTCCACTCACTGCTTCAGGTAAGCAGTAGAATGAGTGCTAATAGTCCTCACTGAATCCTCTTGGTTCTCCTAATCAGGGCACCATGAGGATGCAGACTGTTCCCTCTTCCCCTCTCCTGTTCTGCCTCCGATGGCCAACCTCAGCTTTGTCCTTCTGCCCAACTCCCAGCACTTCTCCCCCCTCCCTCCATATAGGGGACAGAGAGCACAGCAGCTCCTGCAGCTCCCTCCCTGGCAAGGAATAGGACAGGTAGAGCAGAACACCTGGGCTTTTCTGTGAATTCGAAGGAAGCAGCAGTGAAGAGAAAATGTTTGCCTGCTACTGGAAGAAGAGATGAATTCTGATTGTGGGGAGAAAAGATGAAGCATCAGATCCTTTGTGGTAAGCTGGTGGAGGCTAACTTGGATTTCCCTCTAATACAAACAGTAAATTGGCTGCAGATAGCCTTGGCAGAATTCAATTTTTATTTTTTTTCTTATTTTGATGGATGTTTATTTTTAAGTATTTTTTAGAATTTTATTAATTTAAATTTTCATAATTGTGGGAAGTTATAGGGGGAGACAAACCATAATTATTTAATGACAGTAGATGTTGAGATTCAAAAAGTTAAAGTTTTATAACTGTTAAAACAATTTGTCAACATCACGTTAAAATATACAGTTATTTTAAATCAAACACATACAATTTTCTTACTTTGCATATCTGTAAATGTTGATTATTGTTGATGGAAATATTTTTGTTGGTTTGTATGTGTACAGTGAAATCAATATTTACCAATAAAAATCTAATACTTTCAAGTTGATCTATAGAGAACTTTGAAGATGAACAAAACCAAAGGGCCTCCACATGTAAATGTATAAATCTTTCCATATACATGGACATCACATCAGCACCTCTGGAAATCTGGGGCTTATTTAGGTGATCAGTCAGGTTAACTGCAGGGACTACTGGTGGGATGTCCAAAAATTTTTGAAGCACCACTGTCTACTGCTTGAGCCAAAGGACCAAGTCTGTTAGCAGGAAGACAGTAGCAGAGTCACAAATCTCATATGCAGTGTAGTTGTAGCCTTGTTGATCCCAGAATATTAGAGAGACAAGATGGGTGAAGTAATATATTTTATTTGACTAACTTCTGTTGGTAAGAGACACAAGCTTTGGAGCCACACAATGCCAGCAATGCCCCTCTGCCATATACATTGGCCAAACTGGACAGTCTCTACACAAAAGAATACATAGACACAAATCAGACGTCAAGAATTATAACATTCAAAAACCAGTCGGAGAACATTTCAACCTCCCTGGTCACTCAATTACAGACCTCAAAGTCACAATACTCCAACAACAAAAACTTCAAAAACTGACTCCACCAAGAAACTGCAGAATTGGAATTAATTTCCAAACTGGACACCATTAAATTAGTCTTGAATAAAGACTGGGAGTGGATGGGTCATTACACAAAGTAAAAACTATTTCCCCATGCCAATTTTTTTCCCCTACTATTACTCACACCTTCTTGTCAACTGTTGGAAATGGGCCATCCTGATTATCACTACAAAAGTTTTTTGTCTCCTGCTGATAATAGCCCACCTTAATTGATTACTCTCATTACAGTTGGTATGGCAACACCCATTTTTTGTGTCCTCTGTGTATATATATATCTTCCTACTATATTTTCCACTGCATGCATCCGATGAAGTGGGTTTTAGCCCATGAAAGCTTATGCTCAAATAAATTTGTTAGTCTCTAAGCTGAAGTCAGCGTATCTTAGGTCGATTTACCTGGCTGCGAGGACGGCGGTGAGTCGACCACTGCCATTCCCCTGTCGACTCCGCTTCCGCCTCTCGCCGCAGTGGAGTTCCGGAGTCGACGGCAGAGCGATCGGGGATTGATTTTATCACATCTACACTAGATGCGATAAATCGATCCCCGATAGATCGGCGGGTGTAGACATACCCTAAGGTGCCACAAGTACGCCTCGTTCTTTTTGCTCATACAGACTAAGGCGGCTACCACTCTGAAACCTGACACAGAGCTTTCTTTTTCCAGACCTGAAGGGCTCTGTGGTGATTGAAAGCTTGTCTAACCTACAGACCTTGGTCCAATGAAAGCTATTACCTCACCCACCTTGTCTCTCTAAATCTCACAGCGATCCACCCAGTAGGAGTAAGACAGAGATCCATAGCGGGTGAAAGTGCGTTACACGGAGGCTTCGTTATCTAATGTCAAGCACCCACATTTGAACTTTGGCCCATTCCCACGGGTGTGGAGGTCTTGTGGTAACACCACCTGTTTTCTAATCTGAGTTGGCCCATGGCAAAGATCAAAGTGCAGGGACCCCCTGGGGGTAGGGCTGATCCAGGGCTGGGCTCTGAGGGGGTGAGGGGGACCGCCGGGGCGCTGGCTCAGAGCGGGAGGGGCCCGGACACAGCACAGGGCTGCGAGGAGCTCCAGGTGCAGAACGTCCTGCTGTGCCAGGCCAGCTCGGCGCCAGGGGCTGGACGGGGGACACCAGCCCGGCGCCGGTCGGGTGGGGCCGATGCGGCGCGCGGCTGCCCCTCCTCCCCCTGGGCAGGGCCGGGCCGGCTCCAGGCACCAGCTTAACAAGCAGGTGCTTGGGGCGGCTAAGGAAGAGGGGCGGCACCTGCGGCAATTCGAGGGCGGCAGATCCCTCACTCCCTCTAGGAGCGAAGGACCTGCTGTTGAACTGCCGCCGCCGAGCGCGGCTTATTTTTTTTGCTTGGGGCAGCAGAAATGCTGGAGCCGGCCCTGCCCCTGGGGCCACCTGCACTTCCGGGCCACAACCAGCTGAGCACCGTCTGCAGCGGAGGAGGGGGGCCGCCAGGTGCCCGGAATAGCGGCCGCGCTCTCAGGGCATCTGGTTCTCATGGGGACGCCTGGAGGCGGGTAAACACAGCGCCGCCTCCCACCGCGACCGCCCTGCCTTGGACACAGGCTCTCTCGCGAGAGCAGGAGGCCCGCGGCCTGGCTCAGTCTCAGCCGCGGAGCACGGCGCGGTGGCAGGCAGCGGGGCGGGTGGAGCTGCTCGGCCTGGGGGTGAGCGGGGGGCCGGGGCAGGCGGGCGGGGAGACCGGGGGGAGCCTCCGTCCCACCTTGGGGCTCAAGCGGTTTCCTCGGGAGGCAGGTGCCCTGTAACCCGGGGGAGGGGCCGCGCCTGGGAGCGCCGCTGTCACCAGCCCGGCTAAGGCAGCGAGCGGGGCTGGGCCTGGCGCCTGTCAGAGGCAGCGACCGGAGCCTGGTGTCCGGGCGGGAGACTGACCCACCCGCGATCGCCGCTGCTCCGTGATCGGGCGGGGCCCCTGGGCTCCGCGGCCATCCCAGCCCTGGGTAGAGGCTGCGCCGCGGGGTCGCTGACGCTGGCGAGAGCTGAACCCTGTCGGCATCGGGCAGGTTCCCGGGAAGGCTGGGGGGCGACGGGCGCAGCGGAGAACGCGCTCGGCGCGTATGAGGTGTGGGAGAAAAGTGCCCTGCCGGGGTGCCTGGGTCTGGGGAGAAACGTGGCCCTGTTCAGCGTGTGCCGAGAGCTACAGAACGAGGGCAGTCGTTTGTTTTGTTCATCTCTTCCGTCATCCCCAGGAGTGCCTGTGGGCTAAACAGAAAGCAGGTTCTCCCGCTCTGAAAGCTTTTGTTTTCGGAGGAAAAGCTGGTATGTCCTTGGCATCGTCACGTTTCATTGCTTCAGGTATCACTCACCAGGTCTAGCTTTTATATCCCCGTGACCCTGGCTTCCTCTGGCCTTTCCTAGTTTTCCTAGGCTGCTGCCTACTTCTTCAGAGTAGATCCCATTCCTCCTAGTCCAGTGTATGTTCCCCGGGGGAGGTGGTCTTTGGCTTCCTCCCCTCTGCAAGCTTTTCTTTCATCCTCCCATTAGCGACCCCCTCAGCGCAGCCTCAGTTGTTCCCATGGTCTCTTAATACTCTCATTTACTTCTCCATCTCTTCTTGTTTCATCTTCTCATGGATGTCCCACTACTTCCTCAAATTAAATGGATAAGGTACTGAACGCATGAATTTTCTGCCTAAAACATTCTGTCCTTTATCAGTTTTCACAAATCCACTGTCTGCCTCATCACTCAAGTGCCATCTTTTGCTCTTTTCTCTCATGTACTTTTGCAAAATTGTGGCCTTAGATTGTAAAAGTCTTTAGGGCAGAACATTCTGCAAGTTATAGGGCTAATAAATCATAGAATCATAGGACTGGAAGAGACCTCAAGAAGTCATCTGTGCCAGTCCCCTACACTCATGGCAGGACTATGTATTATTTCTAGACCATCCCTGACAGGTGTTTGTCTAACCTGCTCTTTAAAATCTCCAATGATGGAGATTCCACAACCTCTCTGGGCAATTTATTCCAGTACTTAACCACACTGAGAGGAAGTTTTTCCTAATGTCCAATATAAACTGCCATTGCTGCCGTTTAAGCCCCTTGCTTAAAGAGGCTAAGGAGAACAATTTTTCTCCCTCCTCTTTGTAACAACCTTTTATGTATTTGAAAACTGTTGTCATGACCCCTCTTGTTCTCTCTTCTCTAGAGTAAATGATTTTTTCAATTTTCCCTCATAGGTCATGTTTTCTAGACCTTTAATCATTGTTGTTGCTCTTCTCTGGACTTTCTTCAATTTGTTCACATTTTTCCTAAATGTGGCCCCCAGAACTGACCACAATACTCCAATTGAGGCCAAATCAGTGTGACGTAGAGCAGAAGAATTACTGCTTGTGTCTTGCTACAACACTCCTGCTAATACACCCCAGAATATTTGGGGTTTTTTGCAACAGTGTTACACTGTTGACTCATATTTAGTTTGTGATCCACTATGACCCCCAGATCCTTTTCTGCAGTACTGTACTCCTTTCTAGGCAGTCATTTCCCATTTTGTGTGTGTGCAACTGATTGTTCCTTCCTAAGTGTAGTACTTTGTATTTGTCCTTATTGAAGTTCATCCTATTTACTTCAGACCATTTCTCCAGATCATTTTGAATTTTATTCCTATCCTCCAAAGCACTTACAATCCCTCCCAGCTTGGTGTCATCCACAAACTTTAAAAGTGTACCCTCTCTGCCATCATCTAAATCATCAGTGAAGATATTGAACAGAATCAAACCCAGAACTGATCTCTGCGGACCCCACTCAATATGCCCTCCAGATTGACTGTTTAATTATAAATGTTTAATTTTAGAAAGCTAGGTGAAATTTGTACAAAAACTTTGATTGAAATCTCTTGAAGACAGGGACTCTCCTGTATGAGTGGAAAGCACCTAATCCATTTTGGGTACTACTATAATGCAAATAACTGCTTACATTAATATTCAATTATAACTGTTGTAGTTTTTTATGAAGGCGATAAAGTCTAAATCAAGAGTGGTGACAAACATTTTGGGCTGAAATATGACACTTGGTAGATTTAGAATAGTTAATTTTAAATGCAAAAAAAAATTGATATGGTCAACTTTATATTCTGAAACCAGGCATGGTACTTTGAACTGAAATGTTGCCTCTTTGTACGTGGCCTTTTCACATTCAATATGACAATTTGTTATGAGAAACATACCCTTGAATTTCACTTATGTACACCAACTTAGCTGTTACATTAGCAGTTTTTACACTTATTTGAATAGCTCCATGATTTCTTTAACTAACTATTTATATGTTTTGATAGAGCCACTAACTTGTTTACTTATATATGTAATCAATCATAATTCTCAATATGCAGGGGTCCCTGTATATATTTCTATATGCAAATCCAGATCTGTACCTCAGTATGCTACTAAAACTAGATGGAAAAACCAAATGACACATGCCCCAAACTATTCTAATACAAACTAAGTTAAGCTTCTTCAAACACAAAGGCCTTAATTGAATACTTTTTCCAAACCATAAAATCACTACTGTAGCTTATCCTTTTTTGACAAAAGGTCTAATTCCACCCACCTACATGTTAAGTTTATTAATTTGAAATAAGATATTCACCCAATACTATAAGTTCACATCAGCAAGCTAATGTGTTTGCTGAGCACTTGATACTTAAAACTGTTTATGCTTTATCTAGTTAAGCAAATCAAGTATATTAAACCTCACATTTACATTTTTGATAATAGTTATTGGTCCCATATAAGATATCAAAGAATACACTTCACTTAAGTTAATTTTATAAAGATTTGGGTACTTTAAAGAAAGGAATTTAAGAGATCTTTTCCAAGAGTGGACCACATTGAAACCTGAATTACTTCTATATTAACAGGGTATTTACAACACATGATGTTGGAAGAGTTCCTTTAAGGTCAAACATAAGAGTTATGGCAGCACATTGGAAGAAAATGTTGGTGATCCTTCTAGCAGCTCAAACATTACTTATGAGTGATAGCTTTGAGGAAGAGGATGTACCCGATGAATGGATTCTTCTTCATGTAGTCCAAGGTCAGATTGGAGCTGGAAACTATAGCTACTTGAGACTAAATCATGAAGGGAAGATAGTACTTCAGATGCAGAGTTTAAAAGGTGATGCAGATTTGTATGTATCTGATATGACCCTTCACCCCAGTTTTGATGAATATGAGTTACAGTCTGTAACTTGTGGCCAAGATGTTGTTTATGTACCAGCCCACTTCCACCGCCCAGTGGGAATAGGAATCTATGGTCATCCCTCTCACTTGGAGAGTGAGTTTGAAATGAAAGTATATTATGATAGAACAATTGTAGATTATCCATTTGGTGAGGCTTCCTACAACCCAGAAGAGATGGAGGCAAGCCAGAAGCGCACTCATTCACCAGAAGATCAATCTCAGGATGAGGAATCTATTTTTTGGACTATACTCATTGGAATTTTGAAACTAATACTTGAAATTCTTTTTTAAAATAATCAACTGGACATACACTGGACTAGAGTGCACTTATAGCCTGTGACATTGAACATGAATGGCTTGCTGTGAGCATTGGTACTCTTTTTTGTAAAGTTACCTGAAGAGGTATTCGGGTTACTTTTTCTATGCTGAAGAGGGGAAAAGCAAAGCCATATTTAATTTTGTATTGAAGCCCCCTTCCCACCTTCCAGAAGTAAAATGAGCAGAAAGCACAGTATTTGTATAGTTTTCTTTATAAATCAGGGTTAAAGTGAATGTACAATAAAGGGAATCTTATTAAAATGTATCAGTTTGAACAGGTGCATAAGAAAATGGACCTTGATAATTCACTGTATTTTCTATTAAAGTGACACTTAATTTCATACAAAGAAAAAGTTGTAAAATCTGAAAGGTGCAGTTTTAACAACCCCGTCCAATTTAAAATAAAGAACTAATTTTCTAATCTCTTTGCACTGTGAACAGCTCTTTAGCAAGTGGCACTTTAAAATGCTGGCAACTATTGGAACTTGAAAGTAGTGTAACAAAGACCAGGAAATATCAAGGTCAAGATTTAAGGTGAACAGTGATTTTAGGTGCCTAGTTAGATCCAATTTAAAGGAGCCTGACTTTTCAAAGTGTAGGTGCTCAGTGCTTTCTCAATCTGCTCTCTAAGGTATCAAGTTGCGCATTTAAACTGAAGCACCCAAAATCACTTAATCACTTTTTAATATCATGACCTGAATCAAGTTTGCCATCTTCTTTATTATCTCTGCAGGTAGAGGCTGATCTTTCTAGTCAGGGAAAGAATTATAATGAATCAGTTATTCAGCTATTTTTGTATCTGTAAATAGATATAAGCAATATTGTCACTGCTCATTAAAAGCAACTCAGCCTGCATTATCATAAGCAGGAAAAGGTTTTTCTCCATATATGTACCCCTTTTCTTAAGTGTAACCACAATTTTAGTGCCACTTCCACAGTATCATCTGTTCTTTATGGTTGTTGGTGCATCTTTATGAAAATTAGATGCATTTAACTCTTGGAGTGCACGCTATTTTCAGTTATAGGGACTTAAAGTAGTTCATAATAAAGGAGACTGGATTTTCTGGCAATGCATTGAAACTTTTAGATATTATTCCTACAAGCTTCAAAGTCATGGCGTTTTTAAATTAAAGCAACACTGATTATTTAAAAGTAATTGAATGCTTTGCTTTGATTGAATCATGGGGAATAAAACTGAGTGCTATGCAAATATCTAAACTTTTGTGTAGCTTTCTCTCCATGTAGAAGTTATTGCTATAGAACATTGGCATTTACAAGTGTGTTGCTATAAACTACCTCTTTGAGAGGACTTTCTGAAAGTTTTCCCTCTTGAATGGAAATTTGAGTTGTCAATCTAAACTGCTATGACAGAATACATGCTCAATTACTGCCATCATAGGAAAACCCATAGTCAAAATTATAAAAATTTTATTTGGTAAAAGATGCTTAAGTGGTTTTGTTCCATATACAGAGTGGTTGGTTAAATAGCACCAAATTTATCACTTCAATTTGTGCAGTTAATCGTATTGGAAGGTAAACATTATTCCTTTAGCCCTCTTTGCTGTTTTTCCCCCTTCTTCCTCCTCTTCTAGGTGTGGGGGGGTCTTTTTGACAACAGTCACAAATCCAGCGACCTAAGAAAGAAAAAAGTTGACATTAGTTAATATTTTTATTAACTGTAGAACCCATGACTAGTTTACAAGATGAGTAAATACTTTTATTTTTGCACTACCTGTGCTGGTAACATGCAAAATATAAACCAATGTCTAGAAGTTTATATTTCTTCCTTTAAATTTGAAGACAATGCAAGTACATAGAGTAATAATACTGAGCAGAAACAGGTGGTGGTATATACATTCCCACATACTCACTGTATCTCAAACTGGCCTGTGATCACATGACTGGGCTTCACAACAATTAAGAAGGTCCAATGCTACTGTAGGATGGTTTTGAGATAAGAATAAACACTACCCATACTTCACTTCTGACTCAAGTAAAATTGAGTGCATTAGATCAAAGCATTTTAATTTGTTGACTGACTGACTACTTTAGAGGAATATCAACTGCTTCTACTTATGTTCTACCTTTAATATGGCTCAGTTAGTGTAGATCCTAGTGTAAATCAATCACAGAACTTGAATGGAAGAGAGGTCAGCAGCAATGGAACAACTGTCAACTCTACTGCAGCTCACAACATTTTCAAGACTTGAGTATCGGTGTTACAGCAATGCTAGCACTGCAGAACTTACTAGGTACATGCATCAATACAGTAGCTGTATTTTGCGACATGGATTTAGTCTTACACAATCGGACTGACTACTCCTGTCAATGATCTAGTTCTTTAATTCTGATTCTACACTGCCTTACACCTTGTGCAGTCATTTACAAGGGAGCAAAATAAGTGAAAAATGCTACTAAATCAGTATCTTTTATATTAATGTAAAATAGGTATAAATGACTGCACATAGTGCAAAGCACCAGCTTTGTTTTAGTTTCAAGTTTAAGCATGTTACTGGGTTTATTTAGTTGAACATGCAAGTTGTGATGTAAAAAAAGGGGTCAAGTGTATTTACACAGATGGAGTGGAGCACACACTTTTTTCTTCTACTTTAATAAAGCAGTTGTACTGTTAAAGCTTCTAAAACAATGCAAAGGTTATACTCTATCAATAGGGAGAAATGTTGGTAAAGTTTATACATCCTTCATTTATGGATGGAGGTAGCTATTCAATATCTTGTGGGAATCCTGAAAAAGTGCGGTTCTGAGCCATAGCTCTACTTGAGTTTTGACAGGAACAGTTATAGGGTTGTAAAACGGTGAAGCTGCCAATCCTATACTCTGTACATTACTAAAATATACAGAAATTTAAAAAAAAACCCTCATTTCTGCTGTTTTGGATAATTCAATGAATGCCATCTTACACTGTAGATGCTACTTAATGTTTACAGTCAACTAATTCATACACCCCTATGGAAGTATAATCTTGTAACAGTAGAAAACACCAGCCCTTAAAGACTAATTTCTGTTTCATTACCTGAAGGGATAGCACCAAGCCCCACACAAAAGGTATGATAACCTCGGTCACACACATCACAGAACATCATTTCTTCTTCATGGTGAGGCTGCCCACATATAATGCATGTTTTACACTCCATACACTGCCAAGGGTAGGTCTTAATCATAGCAACAAGCTCCATGGTCATATCAAGACAAGAAGGGTGGCCTAGATTAAAACCAATATTATTAATAGCACCTTTAGAAATGAAGTTGTAAAATAATTAGTATAACTTAATAGCTATTCTACAAAAATCAAGTTTAGCTCACCTAAGAGACTCAGTGCAGTGAATGTGTTCTAGTACATACTTAAGTACAATTAAGGAAATTTTAAAGGGAAAAAGTCAGTTTCTAGGAAGACTGAAATGTTTGTATGCAAATTTAGTATTATACAAAATATTTCCACTGAACGTAGTAAGACGTGGCAATTAAAACTCCCAGCATTCCAGTTAAAGTGTATATAGATACTTACCACTGTTGTCACATTGGGAGCAGTGTATAAGTGCTTCAGTCTTTCCTTTCTTGTTGGACTCCTTACCCTTCAGACAAATTCCACATATAGCATTTGGAGTGACCTTTGGCTGGAAGGGTAGAAGAGGGCTATAAATTCATCCCAGAAGAATTTATAATGGATTTAACAGGAAATTTGTTAAGGTATCTCCATTTTAACTTTTGTAAATTACTAATGAACTTTTTGTTATCATGTGATTGAAGTGAATCTTAAGACATAAGGTGATATTGACATAACGTGACATTGACAAATACTGGTTATTTTAAAATCTTAGGAAAGATGCATACAAATTTGATATTTAGAGCATGTGCAGTGAGCTATATGTAAATCATTTTACAAAAAATGAAACCAGAACAAAAGTGTATGCTAGATCCTCCTGCAAGCTTGTCAGCTAGCACTTCCCTTAATAGTGAATACAAATAATTTACACTATATTGTAACTTTAAAGCTAAATCAAATTTGTTCAAATATAGAAGGAATAGGAGAATATATTTATATGAATCTCCAAATTCACAAGCTTCCATGTACACAAGAGAACATAAATATCCTTTAAGAAATGCAAAATTACTTAACTCATCTGAATGGAAGCTTAAAATGAATACCATAAAATAAGATACAATTTAATACACTTAATTTGTATGGTTTAAGCTTCCAAAATGTCTAATAGACAAGTTAGTTGTGTTGCTTTAATCAGTTTTACTGTTCCTTTCTTCTATATCTAAAGTCATGATTGCTGTTGCTATAGAAAACACTACAATTCTACACTTACAACACTGCTAGGAGAAAGTGAACTGAGAAAGAAAGGAACTGAGTGTTCATAACATCTATTTAAGGCAAAGAAATCCCAGGTGCTTAAATTGGCTGTGCAGTTCCCAGTATTTGTGTAGTAATTTTATGACCAAACCCAAAAGATAAGCTAGTAGTAGCTTTGCTTAGAGGAAAAGAAAACATATAATTAAGGTATCAAATTGTTTATCAAAGGGCCATTCAAATAGCTTTAATGTCAGACTTCAACCTACTGCATCTTAATGAAGGTTTGGATTCAAATACAACACTTACTGATGTTGAATCCACTACTGCCAGAGATTTTTAAAAATCTGTCTCAGTGATATTTTAGTTCTGTTGTACAGAAGCAGCCATCTAGTCAATGGAGGAATTTTGAATTAAAAGCCTACTCCCTAAGGAACTGTGTGATTGCTGACAAATAGTTACAATGGGACTTGCTCCATTTAAAAACAAAAACAAAAAAAAACTTGCCAAATGAAAGAATAAAAGTGGTAGAGTATTTTCAACCTAAGATGGTATTAATAAAAATGGCAGTGAACATAAAACTATTAAAAAGAAAAAAGTATTCAATACTGCCCCTTTTAAAACAAAATGTTATTTACCAGCCAGCTCTTTTCTAACATTTAGCAAGATAATTAATGTCTTCAGCAATTCTTAATCTGTCAGAATTCATTGCCCTACTTCGAAAATGTTTGAAGTTACTAAACCCCATTTATGGCTATAGTCTGCTTAACTTGTCTGGCCTGAGGAGATTTAAATAAAACAAAACCCATCGGATGTTTATATATAACTTCCTTTTCAAAAGATGACAGAGGCATTCATAAAGACTTTTTTTGCTTATTTATTTTAAAAAAGCATAGTCAAACCTGTTTTATACATAAATATAGTAAAACTGTAAAAGAAGTCTAACATTCACAAATGTCTCTACAAAATAAATATCATGGAAGTGAAAGCATACATAGAAAATTCTTACCGGTAACTATTCTATGTCTCCTACATATATACCTTGTATACCCTGCTCCTCCCAACAAAAGGATAGTGGCACATACTTAAACCTCAGTCTTGCTGTG